CCTGACCTAACCCTGACCTAACCCTGACCTGATCCTGACCTGACCTGATTTTGACCTAGCCCTGACCTGACCCTGACCTGACCCTGACCTGACCCTGACCTGACCCTGACCTGACCCTGACCTGACCCTGACCTGACCCTGACCTGACCCTGACCTGATCCTGACCTGACCTGGTCTTGACCTGGCATGATCTGACTCTGATCTGAGCCTGACCTGAATCGGACCTGACCCTGACCTGACTCATGCCCTTAGAGAGTTAAGACAATAAAGGTTGATAAGAATAGTGTCTTCGTGACCCATGTTTCACTTTGTGCGTCGCGACTCTAGTTTTATGATTTATATGCCGGGATAAAGAATGCCCTCTACAACTGCCAGTAATGGGCTGTTTAGTGTTTACAAAATACCCCAGCAAAGCAACTTCAGTCTTGCTTATTGGACTTTGTCAGCTCATGGCTTATCGGTTATCCCCTTTTTAAACCCGCAGTAGAATTCTCTAAGCATTGACTCGCGCCTGTTATATCCAAGGAAACCTATAACTTTGTGTTTTTGTGCGTATATAGTGTTTACAGTGTTCCAGCGCCGTGTAAAATGGCTTGTTTTGCATCCGATGCGTTCTGAATTCGCTATGCCATTAGCGAAAAGATCAACGTAAATCTTATCAACTTGTGACGCCTAAGAAAATATGACTTGAATATACCAAAGAGCGTGTTTCAAAACGTGCCTCGCGATTTGTTAGCATATCTCAGAGCTAACACAACACCATCAACGAGAAGGCGAGAATCCAGTGAGCTTCGGGGTGGGCAATGCCTCAGTCGTCTCAGGTCTGACACAATCTCACATGCAAATACTGCAGTTCGAATTCACCAGAGCGTGAATCTAGAAACGCTTTTGCAACGCTAAACATTTAGGGACAGAATTTACACCTACAGAACACAGCGACTGAGGGCTGCGGTCTGTCGGTCTTTTGTTGCGCCCAACACATTATTCCGTTCATTTTTTTTTTTTTTTTTTGTCCACAGTGAAATTAAATGACGTTTTTATTTATTTGATGCCCTGATTGTTTATGCAGGGCGACGGCTGTTACGATTGTTTTGTCGTTTTATTCAGGTTTTATTCGTTTTCATTGATCTTTTTTTGTGATACTGAGAGCCATCAGAACTGTGCAGAACCACCTGTTCTGGGCTCCACTTGTCATTCAGTACACCCTTAGAGGAGATTTGACTACATCCACATGAATATACTACTTTTGTGAGGCAAAATGGTTGTTTTCCCGCGCACGGCTGGGGGTCCTGGATTTTCACGCCCTGCTGGGGGGTATTGGTTGGTTAGCACGCCACCAGAAGCGAGGTAGGCTCCCGCAACAGCCGTAGCCTGAGGAGGAAAGGGAGCCCACCAAGTAATTGGGCAACATTGGCCTGTTGGGCGGGGAGGAGGGAGAAGTAAATAAACAGAACACAATAAAGCATGTAGTTTCCATGCATGTTTCGTGCGATGAGATGACTGTGCTGCGATTCTGCGCTGTGCAGACGATGTTCTTTAGCCAGCCAACCTGATTGCGTGTCGTCTCTCATACCGGTGTTCCGTATTGTCACGCAAACAGGCTATTTGCTCTAGTTCCTGTCTTCCGTTCTTTGGGGAATGGGACAATCTGGTTCCGGCCGAGCAATATTGTGCGCGCAGCTGCTGGATTTTACCGCTAGATGGCAGCCCTTTCGAAAGGGTCGCGACCAAGGCCGTATAAGTCGCGACCAAGGCCAGGTCGCGACCACGAAGAGGTGAGCCGCGACTGACGCGGTTATATCAGCTTCGATTGTTAGGTAGGGGAGTAACAAACAACCTTCAGAACCCTCTCACCCTCTCACAGCAACAGTTGCTTCCACTTTGAGACGGAAGTTTGGGTTGTTAGCTCCAGAGTTTTCATTGGTAATGCAGAGAGTCAGTGAGGTAGGTGCCTTTCTCCAGAAAATTGCTTTGCTTGATAAACCCCACTTGCGGCGGAATTCCTTTTCGCCATACAGTCAGCTGTGATTTATATCATCGGCTAGTTTAGTACCAAGATATCGCTAAAGAACCAGACTTGGGTCGGCATTTATTGCCCATTTAATCGACAGACATCATAAGACATAACCGAACCGTTTCCGTCAATGACAGCCAATGATCGGGAATCTATGGCACTCAACTGCAGCCAGCGAATATCAACTTCCGCCCTGGCGGCTCTCGACAAAGCCCCGCACGTGGCTTCAGGCCGTCATTTGTGATGAGAGTTTGTGGCAGACGGTCTCAAAACCGCCAGACGTCTCGGCTAGCCCCGAGTCGTCCTGGCCAGCTATCTGTCTGGCAAAAGACCGGCCGGGTCAGTATCGGCCGGGTCAGCGCGTCTGAGGGTCATATGAGGTCAAAGAGGACGGGAGACAATGCCAGATGTGGCGGTCCAAAAATGGACGCTGTCGTCTCACGAGGAGGCAGATGGTGCGAATGTCGCCAGCTGCGGATTAACGGTGACGAAGAAGAAGTTTTGACAGCAAACTGCGGGAGAGTTACTGGTGCAAGATCGTCAGCAGAAGGTGTGAAGTTGTTTGTTGACGCTTTGTTATTTACGTAAGATGTATTCAGTAATTTATAGGCCATCAAATTATGACTCAAAATTTAATAATTATTCATCAAACGCTCTCAAAGCTCTGAATATTTATCTGTTATGGTGAGATGATTAAAAAGTAGTGATCGGCTTAAGTGCTGATAAAGATACAGTTGCACGCATCCTCTCATCGTAACGTTTGCTTCAACGGGACTATGATATCGTTTTTGTTTGTTAGGTAAATATTGAATGTTACAAATATGGGCGAGCAAAAAAAAAAAGAAAAAAGAATTGGCGAGCAAAGAAGCTCATCTCCTTTCTAAATAGAGTGAGATAAATTCGCCCTTGATCAGGAAACACGGAAGGGGAACAGACGTTCTCCTAACTCTATATTTGGTCTATCATGAAGAATTGGGATGGGTTTCGCTTGTCTGTTCATTGCCAGCTCTGCTACACCCGGATCTCTATCCAAGATTATTTTTATTCTCTCCCTCTCCCCCTCTCTCTCTCTCTCTCTCTTTCCCTCTCTCTCTCTCTCTCTCTCTCTCTCTCTCTCTCTCTCTCTCTCTCTCTCTCTCTCTCTCTCTCTCTCTCTCTCTCTCTCTCTCTCTTTCTCTCGTCTCCGCCAAGGGTCACTGGCACTGCCCATCTGATGACATTATACTGGACACGGAAGTCGACAATGGCACAGACGACCATTGGACATTTCCACGCACCTTTTGAACGCTACGGATCAGATCATATGATAAATTAGATCACACTGATAAATAGAGCCGACCACTACGCGTCAGAAAAGACGTCACAATGGATGACTGTCGCAATGTTACGGCTGACTTTCGTGGAAATGAAGGTGTCTGCTGTCTAGGGCTACCAGAACACAAAAGTGGCAAACAGTTAACAGCAAGCACCCGAGTCAGAAAGTTCGATGTGCCATCCTCGTGGAAAGCGTGGGATGTTTTTTTTTCTGATGATGAAGATCAACCATTAGCTGCATTTCTGGTCTTGGGTTGTGAGTGTGACCAAGGAAATATTTGTTTACTGTCAGACTCTCCAATGCCTGAATAACTGAACATCGTGAACTAAATGTAGTAACTAGTAAGCGATCGATCCATTAATTAGTCGTTTGTACGATATAACATCATTAATCAGATTTGATTAATGTCACAACTCAGCTGACACCGCCTCTTTGCCAAGATTGCAACAGACGCATCATGAAAGTTCAACTCACATTTTGCAGCAGCGAGTTAACAGGCTACTCGTATTGATAGACCACTCAACGAAGAATAGTAACCTTGACCTGATGATAAAGACCTGTCAGCAACTGCCAGAGCCTGAAACACCAATCCTATCACGCCTAGAGGCTTCGGCTGACGTCCGCTGAAATATGTACGCTCGTCTGCAAAAGATCGGCCACAAAATTGCGCAACTTTGCGAACTGCATGAGTCTCCAGGCCGGGGCTGAAGTATTGCTTTAGTGATGTGGATAGCTGTCGAGAACTGGGTTTGATTAAACGGCGTAGTCATGGACGCGTCAGCCACACGCAGAGGCAACTTTATTACTTCAGACTGCACTGAAGGCGCAGTTCTTTTCGACCTCAGGGCAGCAGCTCAGACCGACTGATGGATCCATGCTATGGAGTAACTGCGCGTTGTGTTATTTTGTGGAGCGACTTGGCAAATGGCGCCATTGGCGACGCTGAGGATGCTTATAACGCGCAGTGCTTTGCTAGGCAACAGATAGATTGCGACGTCTTATTGGCACGGACGTATAAATAAACTTTATTTATTTATGCGTCCGTGCCTGTTTACAAGTGACGTAGAAATATTGTGGTATCTTAAAATAAGCACCTCGTCGTTGCAGTCATTTTTTCAAAGGTTTTCAACGATGAGCTCGGAAGAAAATGGTGGACTTAATGGTTATATAAGTAGCGGTTCTGATTTTTGTTTTCGGCAATAAATCTTTGTAATTTGAAGGTACCTACCTACTGAGACCGTGCCTTGGTCTGAAGCATAATGATGATGATGGTAGAGGATAGAGTTTAGGGAGGGGATTTAGTTTATGTTTTACTTCAATAGCTCCTGTTCACGAGGCAGCTAGCTATGATCCCATGATTGAATGGTGTTTCGTAAGAGGTCTTCGCTCATAACTTGCTGAATAAGACAAAGGATAAGAATCATCTCTTGGGCTGGATGTTCGAATCAACATATACCCAATCTTCATTCATGTTGCTATGTTGGTATTCAGACATCTCTATTTGTACAAATATCGCTGACATTTATGTTACTTGATAGGTAGGTATCGTGCCTGAAAACATTGCGCGGTTGAGAGTTTAATCCCGTTAGTCTGCCCAAATCCTGCTTCCCGAGTTTCATCCCAGTGCGATCCGTTTATATCTATTCTGACTGTTGTTTTCTTCTTTTTCAGCCGTATTGCGACTACCAAGGTGTGGACCGGATCTCAAGAAACGTCTATTTCTACGCCAGAGTTAGCTGCCAGGTACGGTGCTACAAAACGATTTCAGCCCCCGTAATTCTCTGTTCAAGTGTAAACAGGTGTGCAAACTCGTGCCAGTGAACTCAAATTACTTGGCTGATAGTTGGATGCTGGAGATAGGCGCACTGCCTCGCGGTCGATGCCCGTTTCCTGTCTATTTTGAGGTCGATAGGCTGCCATTTAGTGCATAATCTTAGCCATTTACAGCTTGTTTGATGGTGAACGTTTTGGCATTTAATGTAATAGCAGTGGTTAACACTGAGATAAAGCGACATATTTTTACCGCATTTCGAATAACAATTTTCGTCCGGGGGATCATTTCGTGTGCGATAACGCAACACATGGGGATATAACTTCAACGAGGATTGCCACGATATGCGCTATCGTGGCTGGACCGTGAGTTTACAACCACTGGATTTGGATTGAATCTGTGCTGTGCGGAACAGCATTTTCCAGGAGGAATATACAATTGTCCGACTATTGTAAAATTGTCAAATTTATTATATTGGTGATAGCGGGGTTAAGGAAACTTTTTATGGCAAAAATCACTCCTTTGTGCGGCTACAAAGTCGCCTATTCTCTGTCCCCACCCTTTCTACCGTTGGACTGTTTTCATGGCCTCTTCTAAATCTTGAGCTCATTGGTTTGTTGATGATCCTCCCGACTTTCTGTGGCCACATGTCCAGTGTGTGTCCTTCTCTAAACTGATCCTGAATGTCGCGCTCTCTTAATTCTCTCTGTTGATGAAGTTCGCAACTCTAATCCTCATGTTATTGACTTATTACGGAGCGAGCGAAGCGAGCGTAGTCTTTCCTTAGATTAACGGAAATTTCTGAGTATGAGCGGCCGGCCGGCCGGCCGGCCGGCCGGCCGGCCGGCCGGCCGGCCGTGGTCACGCTTTTGCGAGGCTTATATCTCAGCAACCACTTGACCGATTTACATGCGGTAATTTTTGTAGGGTAGCTTCATTCCTTCTACCAAGTATTGCACTATTCCCGATGCATGTGGGTGACCCCTTATGCACGTGCCACGTGCAAAACGAAGAGGTGTCACTTTTGTAATTGTTGCAATATCTCGGTAACTACTGGGCCGATTGCGCTGAGAGTTGGCATGTAGGTAGGCACCCACTAGGCAATGCATATCCATGTGCCAGAGTTGGGGTGCTGTTGCACGTGCGCACGTGCAGGGGTCGTTTCCAGATCTCAGGAACGGCTGGACCGATTGCGCTCAAATTTGGTACATGGATAGGGACCGGTTAGTAGGGTGCCGTGCACAAGTCAGTTGGGACCCATTTTGCACGTGCGCACGTGCAGGGTACCGCTTCCAGATCTCGAGAACGGCTGGGCCGATTGTGCCCAAATTTGGCACATCGCTAGAGACCAGTTAGTAGGGTGCCGTGCACAAGTCAGTTGGAGGTACCCCCTCGCAATTTCGCACGTGCAAGGCCCACCCTCTCGCTCGCTCCGTTAGTCGCCCCAAAAGGCGTTATACTGGTTCTATATTGACTAATCTCTGTCGCAGCAATCTGCTGGCAAACTCTCCAACAACTCTTACTTTGCTCGTGATCCACTCACTTCTCTAAACAATAGTTCTTCATCCGCGAAAGCTTCTGCTAAGTCGGTGGGTGACCGACGACCGCCACTCCAACTTCCCCGTGATACAGTCCCGGGGAAGCTGTTTTCTTCTTTTACCACAGTCTTTTAGCCCTCGCCCGCACATGGGGGGGGTGGTTGCCACCCCCCCCCCAGGTAGTCTTTCTGCTCTGCACTCAACATTTTTAGAGCTAGAAGGCTGATTTTTCGTATAGCTGCTCCTCTATCCTTTCTTGATGTCCACTGAAAATTTCAAGCTTCTGTGATTTTTGGTTTCGGAGATATGACCTTGTTTTTCAGGTCATGTCATGACCCAAATGGCCAATTCTCAACATCTTGCGTTTGCCATGGGCCTTATGAGCTTTTGACACCCTGATTTCGGCCTTTTTTGCCAGTCTTACCTCCTACCTATCATGGAACATGTTGTTTGACGATGTACAGGGGTCAAGGTCAGGGTCAAGGTCAACCTAGGTCACCTAAGATAATTGCGTTTTAGGCAAGCTGAATTTACTTTTTTTGAAGTTTTTTGACTGCATTTTTGGTAAAAGCTTCTCAGAGCATGATTTCATGTAATATGGACCCAAAAATAATCGGTGCACACATCAGTATACACACAGACACACACAGACATACAAACACATATAATTGACCTTGACCTAACTTGACCTGAAATGACCTCAGCAGCAAAATTCTGGTCGGGTAGTGTGACAAAGAGGTTCTAGCTGGCTTGGCACCAGAATACAGCATCGTCATCGGTATTTGATAAGCAGCACACTTGATATCCAACGGTGACCCAAAACAGCAACATTTTTTAGTTTGACCTGACCTGGAAGGTCAATGACTGACCTGAGAAGGTAAAACTGGGTATCATTGGATTCGTCTCTTCCCAAAGAATCTTTTTGGTCTTTACTGCTAAGCTCTATCTCCAACAGGAACGAAATGGCGCGGGGGGGGTGGCAACCACCCCCCCCATGTGCGTTCTAGGATGGGAAAATGGCATGTGCGGGCGAGGGTTAGAGTACCCGATGGCGGCATGGCCCCTACTCCAACTCCCTGGTGATCTCCATTCCAACTCGCTAGGGACCCCGCTCTACCATCTCGCTGTTGACCCCCACTCCCCCACTCCCCGCTAACTCTCCCTCTCATTCCCTGTTGACCAGTCCGCTCCCAAACCTTTTGAACCCCACTCCAACTCCCCATCAACCCCCGCTCCCATCCCCCGTTGACCCCGCTACCACTCCTTGTTAACCCCGCTACCACTCCCAGCTGACCCCGCTACCACTCCCAGCTGACACCCACTTCCCTATCTTCCCCGCAGTACTTCATCCCTCTGGTGGTGCTCTCGTTCTGCTACTGCCGGGTCGGCTGTGAGATGTGGGGATCGCGAGTGCCAGGAAACGCCGACAACCAGCGTGACGCCGTGCTCCTCAACAACAAACGCAAGGTCAGTCGTGAGGATGTTGCCCAAACATGACAGCACGAGATGATTTTATTGACGATGACGATGACAATGATGACGCCAACAATGATGGACGAGATTTGTTTTTACTTATTTCACATCAGTAGGCCTAGGCCCATCTGCTACCTTCAATAACTATTTCGTGCCATGACGGACAGGTCGAAGTGGAAAATTTGGCAAAATTCAAAGTGACCTTAGTGGACATGGGCCCATTGTTTCTCATCCATAGTTTTGTTGAAAAGCTTACGGCATTGCCCGTATCGGTAGAGAAGAATTCAGGGGGGGGGCATGATCATTTGAAGCGGAAGCAATTTAGCATCTGTCAAAATCTGCTGTGAAATATACGACTCTTCGTTTATCGATATTCAAATGTGAACGCTCGCACGCATATTACAATTATGCAGCTGCTTGCTAGACTATAAAATGTAGTGATTGCTGCGTTGCGTTCAATTTCCGCACCATCACTGATGGCTAAAGCCTTTTCGCAGCTGAAAAATGCCTGGCTTAATTTCATCGATTTTAAGTCTGTAGTCTGGAGCTTTTAGTTCTGTTTGTTTCATGGAATGTACTTAGTAATACTAATGACTTCTAGGTTTCAGAATCTCAATTTACGGTTATTGCCTAATTTTAAGTCAGCATTACTTTGATCTGTATTGTAGCTGTCTGTTTTAGATACGGCAATAAGATACATAGCGAAACTTTGCTTTATCATTAATGCCTTAATAATGTTGTTATACGTTTGAACTTTGAAACTCTTTTTTAATGCGCTTACGTTTGCTGGCAAAGGTACAAAAAAAAGCTATGAATGTTAACGCCAAAGCCACCAGCACAGTACATAATAATATGCTGCCCTCTTCCGCATCCCAGCTGCTTCTGGAGCGAAAATAAACTATTCATTAGATCCGTAATAGGCTTATCACGCCTTGTGAACACCAACATTATCATTAATCTCCAATTATATCACCAATGTGAACTATGGTCAGATAGTATATTCAAGACTAGCAGCAAAAGAATAACAAAGTACCGGCTGACGCTCTTACCGATATTGCTTTTGTAGTTGCCTTGTAGAGATTAGGGCATTCTCTCGTGGCACCTGTTTTCCTTTTGCAGCGAATGCAGCAATGTGAAGCCGCCTTTCAAACATTTTTAGAGAAAGAGAAAGATAAATGACAGATAAAATTGACGCCTTAGCAGTTTACCTTTCGAACAGCGAGTCGTGCCCGCATGTCTGTTCCATTCACAGCGAAGAACATTTATTCACAGCGAAACCGAAAAACATTTGTCTGAGTGTGAGCTTCATTATCTTTAGATAAGACTGATGGGGGTATTGTAGCGGAAAAGAGCCAAGTAAATAGACAGATGAAGAAAGGTTGAGCAAGCGCATGCTAGGAATCATATTTTAAGACGAATTTCGCTTCTCACGACACCGAGGGTGATAAATTATCCGTTAATGTTGACAAATATCCTTGTATTGCATCCTTTAAGCTTAAAAATTCCCGACTTTCGATGAAATATCGCGTATTTTTCGCAGAAGCAGAAAATTAAATGGAATGAAAGCTTATTGCGCCTGCTTCCCGTATCTTGCGTATCCGGTAGAAAAAATAATTGCCTCGAAATCTCGCCTCTGAGGCTTTGGAGAGAAACATCCTGGTACATACTTTCCCCGTACGCTAGGAATCGATTGCACACGCTCCACTGGCATTGCCGCGGCAGAAATGGCGCCCATTTGCCATTGCGGCGTACTCTGGCGCCTGCCGGGTGCGATACCAGTGGCGTGCGGCCCGGCTGAGTTATGTCAATATTGATCATCGACAGAAAACACACACACACACTGTCATATATCGAGCTGCCCACGTTAGATATTCGTTTGTGTTACTAATGGATCTCTGAAACAGCACCAGCAAAAAGAAAAACAACCGGATGTGTTGCGAATGGCGACTTCTGATTAAGTGTGCAGTATTGCAACGGTGGATCTAACTTAATGGAATGTTTGTTTAGATTTAATCGCAAAAGTGTTGTAGTTACTGCCAAGTGCAGTGTTATAAAACAATGTTTGTTTGAAAAAGAAAGAGACTTTATTTTCACACTCATTGACGATTCAACAATTGATCAAAATGCACCTGGTGAATAAACATGCTATTTAATTTGGCTCGAAAGTTGATCTTGCTTTTAGAGTTAGCAGTTGGAGTCTGGCGCCAACCCGGCCGTTCAGCGAATCCATTTTTAGAAGCTGGAAATATTACACAAACAAATTTGTTACCTTGAATGGCATAAAGCGGGGCCATACCCGTATTGATGCCAGTCAATTGTTTTCGAAGCGAATAATTGTCAATGCGCTAATAAAGCCGACCAAACTCGGTGGATAGTATGCTATACATGTATAGTATGCTATATACATGTAACATACTATTAGACACCTATCATCAGAAATGCTATTATGCGCGTGTTATCAACACTCCACAATAATACAGTCGTGCTCAGTTATTCGCAGGCCATATCGCGGAACCGTCGTATTTGTATTGGTTAGCAGTCGGCAAAGTTCCATGTTTGGTGCCGCCGAACTCTGGACTATCAAGTTACTGTATTACGTTGATGATGCCTTTGATACGGTGTTCTGTTGTCTGTTTCAGGATATAAACAGTTTTTATTTGGGTCAATTAAAGGGGCTAATGGGACCAACACAATATGGCACAGCGTAGTACCTACAGCGTGCACTTCTTTTAATAAACATTACGCCGGAAAGTCGATGGATACGGACCGTGCTCGATTCTCGCCGTGTTTATTGAATGGTAGTTCACTGCTCAATGTTCACTGTATGCGGCTCGACAACACATTGACACAATCAAGACGGAGATGCTCTTTACAATACCAAAATGTTTGACTGTTTCTTTTCAGGTAATGACGCCGTAGACTTGTATTTAATTATTGATTTTTGAGCTGGTTAAATATGTCGTCGCCATTGGTATTTAGTGATCGTGACTCATGCAAAAGATGCAGCGTAAAGCATATGTTGAATATCAATTCAATTCAAGAGAAGCTGTTGCTTTAATTCGCTTTTTCACAGCGGATAATGCAGCGAGCTTTGATATGCCGGCTGGTGACTGGCATCTGATCATGCTGGTTTAATTTCCCTACATCAATGAAATGCTCACAGCCTTCCTGAGCGTCAGGTCTTGGAGCAAACTACGTCGATGGACCGAACATAACATGAATTGTTAACTAGCCTGATCCCAATCTTGTCAGAGAGGCTCTGAGCCCGGCCGGTCATCCGAGGCTGCCTCTGTATATCTAGAACGTCATTCACCATTCACCCGCGCCAAAGAGATACATTCCTTTGAAGGACAGCGTCACTGTAGTGGATGAGATGGTGTCTTCGGCACATAATGCTCCATTATGCAACGCCATTATGACATCAAACAAAGCACTTTCGAATGTCTTACTCGTATCTGGTGTTGGCAGCTCTCGTGACAACAAACGCACGAGCTTGGGAGCTTTTCATCAGCCATCGGCACAACCAAATGCGTGTTTGGAGATTGATGCCAGTGCTGCATGCCAATCTCAAAGTGCATCACTTAAGGGGGGCTAGCAACAACATGGCAGCGGCGGTGCGGCGCCTGACGACTGGTGGACTGCGGGACCTCGGCGCTTTAGCCGGACAGTGACGATGGACTGCTTTCTTTAGTTCGCTGACAGCCGTAAGCCCCCGTCCCGCCCCGCCCCCGCCCACTTCCATTTCCGACTGTTCGCCCACGCCCCTTCTCTCGGGCGACTCCCAAAATATACAAGATTGCAACATACAAGGACGTTTCGTACAAAATTGCAACATACAACACTCGTAACGCAAAACTGTCCGGTGAGGAGGTTATAAATTCCTCCACTCTGCCGCGGGCCGCTGAGCTGATGGCGCTGACGCAGTGTAGCAGCGGCTGCTGACCACGCCGCGCTGATCGATCTTGATCAGCGCCGGCCGCTGACGCTACCGTCAGCCCTCGGGCCGCCGGCATTGTATGCTAAGCAAGCGTCGGGCTAGATGTAAATATTGGCCTCCGGTCGGCCGATCGCTACCTCGGCTCGATGGGACGCAGCGGCGAAGGCGATAAATTCGTCGCCGCTGCGCCGCTGTCGCCGCGTTTCTCGTTTGTCTCCGGTCGTTCGCTGGCGTCGTGATACAGATCCACGTGGCCTTTTCTGGAGCGACACGGCCTTTTCTGGAGCGACACGGCCAGCGGGCGCGTTACTCAGACCTCGGCGAGTCGCCGTGGACGGTTAGTCGTGGTGGGTGGTAAACTTAAGCGCTCCGGGGGTGATGGGTGGACGTTCTAGTGCAACCGGGTCAGCCCGCTGCTGCAAGATGAGCGCTTTATTGGTCGTTTTGCTACGGCGACTGGACGGGTATGGAGACAATAAGGCGTCTCAAAGGCGCTCCTAGCATTACTGGACGGTGGTTATTGGGGATATCAGATGCAAGCGCTGCGCTGAGAGCGTTCGAGAGGCTGACGTATGTGCAGCTGACAGTAGGATTTTATCATCGGGGAGGTCTCGGTAAATATAAACAGACACAAGTTGGTGGAGCTCAATCGCAAACGTCAAAACTTTGCCACTTCCAGACCCCAGAGGTCAGAGACGTCAACAGTGCTGACATCTGCTGGAAAAGAAAACGGCCTCTATTTGATGATATCCATCTGGATGTTTCAAACTCAAGGGAATGCCACGGAATTGTGACACTTCATACCGAACTTTTGTCGTGAATGAGAATCGGCAATCGAGTCAATGTCGACTTCAAATCAAAAGTGGCATATGCCCTTAGACGATCTCTTGGTACATCTTCCGTGTGTTAAGGATCCCAGAACAGCAATATTTACAATTAACTCTGGAACTATCTGACAATCCTTCCCATGAAACGTCACCAGGGAATTAAACAATTGTTCCTTATTATGCCTCACGATTTTTCCAGACAAAAAACCTTATTAAATTCACCCCTAAAATCAACCTACATAACCAAGACCGCCAACCCAGTCGGCAGTCTAGCCCATGTCCTTCAGACACCTCCCAGCAATGATAGGTCATGGATCACCCTCCTCTTCCGGTCACGTCCTGACAAGATCGCCAGATCTGTCCTCGACGCAGGCGTCCGAGCGCTAACGACCGCCGCTAACGAACGATACGATCTATCGGTCTGGCGGTGGGCAGACGACACAGGCTCTTGGCACCGCGCACGGATGACTGTTCGGGTAACAGGGGTGGATATGGACTAGGACAACATTACCACGTTTTTACAACTATCGACGTGGTTCGCAGAAAGCTGATGATGCATGCGAGGAAGATGTAATGGTGGAGGGGGTCGTTGATGATAAAATGACGATTAAGTTATATTTCAGATGAGGTCGAGCACTAAAAATCCATTTTATTTTGTGTTGTTCGAAAAACACATACTATGACATCGTGTTGGCATCTTACATGAGGCTAACACGTCGAGGTATCCTGTACTGAATTCAACAGGACTGAGCTCCTATCGCGGCTCATGGGGTGGGGGTGGGGGGGGGGGGAGGGGTGAACCAGTGGCGTCGCTATTGCAACTGGCGATGAGGTTTTTTACCGGATATCTTCTGAGCTCGACACAGTGCTTCAAATACAGTTGTGGATCCAAGTTCAATATATGCTGCATTGGTGTCATGCCTTATGATATTCTGCAGTTGATTGCTGCTTTGATATAATTTCGCGGGAGTGAATATCCGCGTAGACGCAGCTATTCATCAGTTCTCACTAGCATCTGCACATAAAATTCCTGCTTCCAGCTAACTCTTTGTGGTTGGCCTATATCACCAAACTCCAGGGCATATAAGATGTTATGCTGAATTCATTCCGACGCACTTTGGAATTGCAAATGCGCCAAATAAGCCTAATCTCATGAATTACGCAAGTTTGAATCTTTGTGATGCCAGAATATAATTCCAGGTAGGGTGTAGGACTGTAGGTGTCAATGGAATGAAATGTTTATTTCCGGATAAATTATTCACGCCGTGGTTTGCTTGCATTTTTTATTTGCTAAATTTTCAATTTCTTACATTTGCTATCTAGCCTAGGCTTGACTTTGTTTTAAACTCGGTGATCGTATTTCTTTAAAAGTATGTCTGAAGGTAATATTTATTTTTGACGGATATAAAAAAACTAAAATAGACAACCAGTCAAACTTGTTCATCATTTCTCTTTTTAGGACACATTTTTACGTTTTCACGTCACTCGGCTTGAATTCCCTTTAGCTCCTATAATCTTCACCTAGTTATCTGCACAGTATGCTCGAGTGTTTCTGCCCCCCCCCCCCCGTCCAGCGACGTTACTTGGGTTTATCCGCACAGTATTCTCGGCTGCTCCTCCCCCTCGTCCAGCAGCGCTACTTTGGGCCTCATAAAACGGGAGAGCGTCAAAGCTGTCGTCGCTCCGGGCACCGGCTGGCCGCCGCGCCGGATCGTACCCGCCCTGCCTGGGTCTCGCCTGGGCCAATATGGCGTCTCTCTTCTGTCACCGCCGGTCCGCAATCTTGATAACCAGCGCACGCTGTCCTGATGACGCTTCCAGGATGACGGCCCTGCGCCGCGCCTATTCTCACCACAGCGCGGCGGTGTGACGCTTCGCCCGAAAAGCACTCGGACTGAGTAAGTCACGTGCTCTGTGACGTCAATTGTGACGTCATTCGACCGCAAAGTGGCCCCAGGCTATCTGTAGCTCTATGGCCTGGATCTGTGTAGCGACGCAGGTTGAGTGTTATATAGTTCGGGTCCTTTGATCTAGGCTAGGGATATGGAGCAAACTGATCAGCTGGTAAACAACATCAGTTATTTAGACGGGAAACGGTTAAGCTGTGTAAATGGTAGTGTAGCCATTGGCGGTGTGCTTTTGGATATTAGGACGGTGGTGTGAAATTAATTAGGTTCGTTGTCTGGGAAATTCTCGAGGCATAATATCATGAAGCTGTTAAACTCGATGCTGACGTTTATGGGAATACCTGTCGCATATATTTAGAGTTAATTGTACCGCTTCAACATGTGTGGGAATAATTTGTAAAATTCGCTCATAACTTTGCAGGCGGTAAAGCTTGCCGTGTTTGATGGGAACGTTTTTTTCAGGTTAGCCCTCAAAAGTAGTTTTTCATCAGACTGCTTACCTAAGACTTTCCACTTGAACTGAGACTCAGTTGTTTGGACTTCCCAGGCCATAATATGCATGTCTGAAATGTGAAATTGAATTTTGAGTGATGGCAGAATATTGATATGTTTTCCTAGGTACATGCTCCTTGGACGTCAACAGCTGTGGCGTTCTGTGGTATGGGATGCAATAAGACATCATTCTTTTTGTCTTTACTGTGAGCACCCATGCTTCATAGTTCATACTGATACTTTAATTCGAAGATATGACACAAAATACAAAATAATGAAAAGTTACCTACGTCTTTTTCCTTCCGCTAGCGATGCACTTATGCAGACTAACCATTTACAAAATGGTTGGCACGATAAAAGATATCATCTAAATTTAAGAAATAACGGAAGTTATTTGATCAGATTTGATTCCGTCTTCACCTAGTCCTCATATGCGACCTCACGTCTCGCGGCTCACACTTGCATCTCAATGTTGTGAAGTAAGTGCATCGGTCCCTAAAATATCCTTCCAATCAACTGCTATAATGAATAAATCAACTTCTAATTCTCGGCTGGGTCAGCAACAGCGTTTGGATCGTCTAAAGGAAGCCTCGCAAGCTCTTTAATTTAATGGAGCAGCCGCCATCAGCGCCGTTCGACGTGCGCCATTATTTGAGCATCGGCCGCCGGTCCGCGCAATCAACGCCGCTTGATGACAAGAATTCTGCGTAGGGCGCCTCAGTTCCGAGCCATCAGGGCACGGGCTCTGGCGACCTCCAAAGTGCACTGATGGTGTCTGGGAGCGTGTGTGACCGTCCTGAATGGGTTTGGATGCCTACACCCTCTCATCAGAGGCCCTGTATTAAAGTGCACTGGCCCATGACGAGGAAGGAATGCATATAACTATGCGCATAGTTTAGATTCTTGATTTCTTTCTTGGAAACGTAGCAATCGTAACATTTCAGCAGCTGCACTGGTTTGAGTGTTTTATTTTGCTATTGCCAATCCACAAAAAAAAAACAATCGACATTTAGATAAAGGCTTTTTCATTAGGCACCTACAAATTGTAGGTACTTACCTAGAGCTGCATCTGGTTACTTCGTTTTCCGTTGAGCACGCTGCTAATCAAGCGTGATGACTGATTACTGTCTACTGATGACTGATGACTTTTTGTCGAACACGACTTCACTTTAACCCGCGCCCTGCTGGGGGGGGGGTGTTTGAACACCCCCCCTTGTGGTTTTTCGCGAATATCTCAAAAACGGCGGCGCGGAGCGCCGCCGTTTTTTGTACACCTTATCATACATCAATTCTACACATGTTGTGAAAATTTCAGACCAAGGTCATTCAAGGTCAGGTCACCAGGTCACTTGAAGTGACCTCACCTCATAAAAAGTTTCAATGTCTGTCATAGCTACACCGAGTGACCGATCGCTTTGAAACTTTCAGCGATTGCTAAGAGCAATAGCATGTACAAAATGTATATCTCAGAATTTTGATATCGATGACCTAAGGTCAGGTCAATTTTGCGACCTCCCCATTATAAGTCAATGGGAGAAAATTGAAATGCGCCTCTTTTGGACGAAAGACATTATAAACACTCCCAAACACCGAATTACAAGTGGTTTAGACACACTGAACATGAAAATGGTGTCCGTGACCCTTGTTTGTGCCCTGAGGTCATCTTAGGTCACGAATGGTATCTAACAGTTTTTCGCAAATAACTTTTGATAGAGGCATGCTAGAGCGATGAAAACGCCTTATATGTGTTCAGCTCGACGATACGGATCGACTGATATGCAACATGACCCTTTCCGGTCAGGTCATGACCTTGACCTGAGGTCAAATTTTCAAGTTGACATTTCAAGGTCAAGTTATAGTTCATTCGATGCGTCTTGACGAGAGGAACACGATGCCGGTAAAAGTAAGCTCGTACAAGGCTTGGGTCAAAAGTTACTGCAGAAAAACGGTTTCCGAAAAAATCGGCTATTTTTGCAGTTTTTGCCCCCTGCAGGCAAAACCGTTGACGTTAGGTCAAATCTGAGAGAATTACTCAGAAAGGGCGTTAATAGGGCTATCGAATGCACTTTTCCGCGGCGCTGTAGCTCTATTGGTTCCCGAGTTATGCGTTAGCTTCTTGGAAATTTTCGACATTCGACCTGGAAATCGGCGAAATTTTGCCTTCAATGACCTCTGGTGACCTGACCTTTGACCTGACCAAAAAATTGACCGAAGTGATTTCGTCATTATTTTTTACGCTCTTTCGAACGCCGCCTTCCGCATATCGCTACGTGGCCCAGGAGCCGAGTTACAAGGGGGGGGTGTTCAAACACCCCCCCCCCCCCAGCAGGGCGTGGAAATCCAGGACCCCCAGCGGGGCGCGGGTTAATTAAGCGTGGTGACTGATGACTGTAGTGGATGAGTGCTAACATGTTCCGGCCAAGTGTGTCCTTATCCGGCGCTGCTGGGAGCTAAAGAGTTGAACATGGGTCATACCCTGACCTTGCAGTGCGATGATTCGGTACTCCCAAATGCTGAAGATGCTGGTGACCTGCCCTGACCACTTGTTCCCCGATCCACTGTCCCTAGGTGCTCAAGGGGTGGCCTGCCCTGACCTAGTGCGCCATGACCCTGTGCCCCCAGGTGCTGAAGGGGTAGCATGCCCTGACCTTGTGCGCCCTGATCCTGTGCCCCCAGGTGCTGAAGATGCTGGTGATCGTGGTCGTCATGTTCGTCATCTGCTGGCTGCCCTTCCAGCTCTTCTACGTCGTCTTCTCAATCTTCCCGAACATTGGAGAGTACGTACTTATACCTACCTAAAGGCGCACCGGTGTAAAACTGGGTCGCAGGTGGAGGTGTATAGAACTAGTGCTCGGACACCATAAATCCACCGTGAGCTTTCCTAGATCAGTGTCGCATCAGTGTCAGAGTTGACACAACCTCAGCATGGGGATGCGGAGCCGTGGAAATTTCAGACGGCTCCGGCTCCGGCTCCGGCTCCGGAGAAAAAAAATCGGCTCCGGCTCCGGCTCCGGCTCCGGGTGAAATATCATGGCGGCTCCGTCTCCGGCTCCGGCTCCGGGCAAAAATGTGCCGGCTCCGGCGGCTCCGGCTCCGGCTCCGCACCCCTGAACCTCAGTGCAGTGAGGCTTTCAATTGGCATAAAAGATCACGATCACTGATCAGTGTCACATAAGACAACACTGTCATAATGACATCTTGTCAGTGACGCAATTGACAACACGTCAGTGAACGTTTCAATTGACGTACAAAATCAGTGTCACATTTGACCATTTATACGTCTCGGTCTCTCCTATGTTTGTCAGCTAGCATTTACTTCCGAAATTTTCTTCTTTGCTTATATAGAAAGGGTTTTACCTACGTCCCATTGTATTAAAAAAATGCGTATTTACTTGCTGTGATCGATACGTCTCTTACCTGCAACTCGCATTCCTGTTAATCTTGTTCACTTTCTTGTACCGGAGGGCATACAATTTCGTTTTATTCACGCTTCAGATTCTGCAAATGTTGCAGAATGATATCGCAGTGTTTATTCTTTCCGAAAGGGGATAAAGCTTCTGAATCAGGAGTGGACCTTCCAAGAGCTTTTCTGCTATGAAACCGCTGGCTTTTTACTGGGTCAAATCGCGAACTGGTATTATATAATACTGAACGAGGCCGGTGTAAATAAATTTTCAAGACCGAGGTCCTTACTGGATTTTTGAACGAGGCCGAAGGCCGAGTTCAAAAATCAGTAAGGACTGAGGTCTTGAAAATTTATCACCGGCCGAGTTTGGTATGTATTTTACTGTATGCCAACCATAAATTTATTTTCTGGACCGAAGCTCTTAGCCGACTTAGGAACGAGACCATCCCAAAATGTTGGCTTTAGTGCATTCTGGTAATGCATTTTTGACCGTGGTCAATTTGCTTACACCAGTTATTACCACACCCCTCAGGCTAATGTATTTGAATAGGCCAGGCATACAGTAATTTATAAAAGCCTTCATTATTGGGGCCCCCGTGACCTGGCTTGAGTCTTTTGCAGAAGGATAGGCTCTTAATTGCTCCCCAAATGTAAGGCTTGCGGGATGATTAGAAATTCATCCAAGTCTACACTGCCAGTGAGTCATTTAGTGCATTACATAACTGCGCTTTGGACACCATGGTTTTCTGGGAACCACCGACACGTGCATTACATAACCGAGCTTTATCAAACGCCTCAACATTTTTGGAGATTGGTCGATATTTAGTAGCTGACGGCCTTGTTGTGTTTCAGATTTCGCTACATCAACGTCATCTTTTTCTGCTCCCACTGGCTGGCCATGGCCAACAGCTGCTGCAATCCGTTCATCTACGGCATCTACAACGTAAGCTTCTGAGTTTTTTTTTTAAGGCCTTCAATTATTAAATGCTTATTTTTTTAAACGCTAGATTAGAGGTTAAAAGAGGAAATTCGGTTCATCCCCCGACGTTTCCGTTTCGAGTTTATTGCTTATTCATGGGCGTATGAGGTACATACAGCATAATTTCCCTCGTGACTCATGCATAAACAGTAAATACGAAACCGGTCGGGCATTACCTGAATTTTCTCCTTCAACCCTGAGCTTTAACCCGGCGGCCGCTGGGCCTCCGCGCCACCCGCCGGCCGCTGGGGGGGGGCATATAGTTGCCCCCCCTTTACTTCTGCGACGATATCGTCGCAACGCGAAGAGATAGAGAAGCGAAACTTTGCACACATCTTCCTGAATACCTAGCCGAGGTTGTGTCCAAATTTGGTGTCGATCCCATTTGAAGTGACGTCACAGTGACGTCATAAGTGAAATTATAGATTTGCGTCTCTCATATTCCTTACGATACATCAGATATATGGGACCGAATATAAAGGGTCAATTATTGGTCAGACACTAGATGGAAGTGTACTTAGATGTTTTAGGATGACAGCAGGTTTTGTCTAGTTCATTTACAGTTGAGTTTCATGCTCAGCGTCATCAGAAACGGTCCATATCGGAAAACGGCAAAACTTTATGACGTCACTGTGACGTCATCTTAGGTGCTACAACCACCAAACTTTCCTCAAACATTGCCTAGGTATTCATTTGAAGCTATGCCAAGTTTCACGTTCGTAACTCATCAGGTTTCGGAGATATTGCACAAAACGTAAAGGGGGGGCAACTTTATGCCCCCCCCCAGCGGCTCGTGGGTTAAATGTATGAATATTTAGGTTGAATATCTTACAAAACGGTTTACATTTGTCAATGTATTTATATTTTAAACGTATGTCTGGCAAAACTTTTCATCCATTCTCAAACGGTGCTTTGTGTTACGTCAGAGCCGTAAAACTAAGCCCGATTCTCTGACAAATCTGGCTGCATAGCCGTTTGAGAGGCATCCCTATTTGATCTACTGGTCATATGCCTGAGCTGACCTCTTATCCATAATTCGCATTTAAAATAAAGCAAATATTCTAAGAATATTTAATGAAACTGGCTTTCTCAAGCTGGCACAGACGGTTATGCAATCGGTCCACATTAGTCTATACCAAATAACCTTGACATGCTGGCAAATGCCTAATGAAATCACTTATTCCGTCCGTCGCATCCACTGAACTCTAATATATACTGGAAGGAGCATTGGTGACTTGTTTTTGTCTATCGATTTCCGCCATGTTGTGTATACCAGACATATAAATTGCATGTACGGTAGCAGAGGTGCAGTTTAGTGAGAGGTACACTACTCAAAAGTGCTGCTGCTTCATGCTTGCAGTTTGATTGCAGTGATCAACTTTTCAAGACTTTGGTATACACAACATGGCGGAAATTGTTAGACATTCTGGCCATTCTGGCCCATATACGGCCAAGGCGAGTGCCTCCCCCTGGGCCCGATTTCACCAAGTGAATATATTCTTGGTGTACTTTGGAAAAGTACACCGACAAAGTACGACAATAATACTATTCGGTTTCGCCACAGGAATATATTCAATACGCCCGCTTTACGTACTTTGGGAGCCACCGGCGCGCATGCATATATCTTTTCTTGTCGGGGACATGCAGTCACTATATTTTTCCGTATTTAAAGTCAACGAGCTTAAATGCTCAGATATACAATATTATGGAAAAAATTTCTAGCTACGCTAATAAGAATTAAATTTGCTGATCATGCAAGAGGAAGTACCTAAACAAATATTGCTAATAATGCTCTTGATTTTTGCTGGGAGCATGACATTCCAAAGCCAAAAATGTAAACAATCGGCAGCAAGCCGCGCAGCACAGTTGACGTTACTGGCGTGTGTGGGTTTTATTGGATTTTGAATTGATATTAATTTTTTCTTCCAAGTTACTTCTCATTAGATATTGCTTCAATATTTGTTCACATCTTCTACGCAATTCTGGAGTGGTTCAAAGCAAATATAAATATGATTAAAGATTATTTATTATATATTATTTAGACTCAGACAAATATGATTATTTTACAACTTGAATGAAAAGAAAATTACATTGCTATAATTTTGTTAATCTGCCTTAATAAAATTGAAAACAAATTTTGCGTTTCAAGAGAGAACAATCGCCATTCTTTTGGTATCTGTGATGCCAATCTCCAGAAATGTCCAGATTGTGTTCCAGCGCCTCCAGTGAAACCTCTGGTAGAGCCTCCAGTCAAGAATTTCTACTGGAGGCGCTGGAACAGGCCCAAAGTCGAACAAGAAATGCCATTACTTGATGCACCTATCTTATATCTAACTACCGATCACTGGCGATAGCAAGAAGCACGGCCGACTAGCCGACAAGTTATCTGAAATATTACTTGAATCAAGTTTTTACATAATCGAAGGGTCTACCGACGACTTCAAATATGGAGAATATTTCGGAATCATTCGGCAGACTGAACCTGAACGGAAGCGGGAAGCCGGTGATAAATTGAATCATTTGGCCACAACACACACAAAAAAAATATGGACATTGGACAGCATATGGGTACTGCAAAGAAATAGCAAAAGTGGGCGATGAAAACGAATGTAAACGAATGCGTTGTGACTTGTGATGCAACATGCTGGGCATGTCAATCAAGGCGTTGCTGGACTGGACTTCAGTCCTTCCTCTCGCCCTCGCCAGTTATTTACTTCCTCTTCGGTAAAACGCTGTATAAAGAGCACGGTGTAATAATCACGGTGAGAAAGATTTGAAACGCTTTTGGCCTTTTGTGTTATCAAAATACAATGTGAACTGTCGTTTTTTTAAGTGGAAAACTCAATGTAATTGGGAATGCGAATGAAAAAAGGAATTCCCTGTTGTGTTTCTGCATGATGGGGTGATTTTAATCGCAGTGATGCCACGATGAGATAAGCCTTATAAAAATAGCTATTCTGGGGTTTAATTTCAATATAAGCCCTGACACACGATACCCTATATATCCAGCAAGAAATAACCATTATGACATCAAAAACTTTTTGCGTAGCCTGTGGCATGTTTTTATCATACGTTGCATCGACGAAGTCATTAAATTTGTAACATTATCATACAAAAAAATTGATGTATGCCAAGCTGTTTCTCAAAGTATGCCACAAAAAGTAGCATACTTTCAATGCTAGCAAACTCGGCAAACAGCTAATGAAAAAGCAGATCGGCGTACCAGAGGTACCTCAAATGTAATAGCATGCCAAAAAACGACGGACTTATGCAGTCATACTTTGTCTTTGTCTTGAATAAGTATCCCTGTACGGAGTTTGGTGAAACTGAATATGTCATAATATGCCAAAAGTGAATATGTACGCCGCCGTAATGGAATATATTCACTTGGTGAAATCGGGCCCTGGTCGCATCCCTAACTTTGCCAACTACCCTGACGTAATTCGCGTGTGACTGACATCTTTGCCGATCCCCTGACAGGAGAAGTTTAAGCGCGAGTTCAAGAACAAGTTCCAGAAGAGCATCTGTCACGAGGGTCGCTACTCGATGGAGCCGCAGTCGTCCGATATGGAGAACGGCTCCGAGGAGCTGCGGTCGCGCTTCTCCCTCCAGAGGTCCCTCAGGAACAAATTCCTCGGGTGAGCAGCATATTGTGTCATGGCCTGTGCTTGCGAAATGCAAATAAACCAATAAGCCTTGCCCAGCCTTGCCAATACAATGCATACTTATATACCTACAATCTACATTCTACATATTTCGGCATTTGCAAACCCGGGGGAACTTATATGCTTGAACTCAAATTGTAAAAGGTACAGTTTCGTATAAATTTTTTTTTAACGATATCTCGGCATTTTTTACCCACTTCCATTCCTTTTCCACATTACGGGTGCTTTTCGCTTGCTGATTATTTACTAGAGTTAGCGCCAATGTTTTCATTGAAACACAGTGGGGCATTTCGAAATTCATGCCTCAGAAACTTAAAATTAAAACTCCGCCACATCATATCGGCGAATTAAATCATAAACCCTCATTTTCACCGTGAGCGTTACATAAGAATTACTCTCGACGCAGGTGGCAGTCCTTCATGTGCTAGACAAAATGCCTGGCTCGCTCATTCGTCAGAGAAGCTCATTATCCACAAGATTTGAGCGATGCTACCGTCAGCACCGTTCCTGCCGGGATATTGCCTATTCTTTCTCAACATTGGCAGCCTCTGACTTGATGCATCACGGGTCTTTTCTCTTCTCGACATCCAGTATAATAAACTGGAACTCAGAAATAAATTTAGCGCGAGTGTGGAAGCACGGTTTTCTTTTTTCATGGGAAATTCTAAGCTATTATATAGGTAAGTTGCTTACTGCTTAGGGATCCACGATAGGTCTATTCCTTAGCTTGTATTGTGACCCAGAAAGCTCGAGTGATGCATTTATTACGGGCTGTGAAATGTATTGGGATGCGCTACATGCGACGTTATTTTGGTGTGAGGCGCCGCTGCTTGTCTCCGAAAGACGATAGTCACTGGCTCAATAGGTCGGCGAGATGCTATATCCATTCATTGACCGATCGGCTTTAGGGCAGCTACTGATGAAACGTTTGAGGAAACAAATCAGGCATTGTGAGGCTGAAGTTACCTCTGGACCTAACTCACCGGGTTTCGGAATTCTGCCTGTCTGACCATAATGGGTCAGACCACGATTAATAGTGCGACGTGCTGGCTATAGCCCCCAACTTCTCCAAATATTCGAACTCGTAAACTTTCAAAGTGCAAACTTTGGTCGTTAAGTTTCTTGATTACTATAGTGCTACGCAAGGTCTATGGGTTTTACTCAGAAAACCTTCTGAATGGTGTGCTATACTTATAGGAGTCATTATATATGACCTTACCCGACAAAGCTTCGTGCTCACTTCAACCGATTTATTAACTGGCCTTTTTACACTCCGGTCTCCAAAGAAAATGTTTCCTTTAGCGATCCTGCGTGCCATTTGCCAAGTTTTAACCAGCGACGAGCTTGCGAAATGCGTGATGAATCACACCCAGCAGTGACAAACTTACGAGTTTACGACCCTGCGTGTTTCGTCGTAACCTGTAACGAACGCACACCTGCTTGTCTGTTTTAGTGTCATTGCTGACTGGTGCCGCTCCCTCAGCGCCTCCACCAAGACCACGCTGGACCGCGCTGCCTCTGTACCGGGCAAGGAGCTGGAGCCACTGGCTGGCGGCGGGCCGCCAATCAACCTCACGGGACCCGATTGATGCCAGGCGGCGGCGGATGGCCGCCCCCGCCCCCGCCCCCGCCCGGCTGTCACCGTGACCTGGGGTCATACCGGAGCAGTGGAATCAGTCCAGTGGACGGCCGGTCATGCACCGAACGGAGAAAACCAGCCGCGAGCAGGCAACGTCCTCACTGTGTCAACACCGGCCGGCCGCAGCACTGCCATCTGACGGTAGAAAACGGAACTGCCGCTTGTGGAAACTACCGCGAGGTGGTGCTAAGAGGCAAAGCGTGTCCCGAGGCTGGGAGAATCAATGTCGGGGGTTCGCCTGCCGTGAGATTTTTGTTCTATGGCGATGTTGTGTTATCTGTGATGCTGAGTTGTAAATAGTTGTGGGACTGTGGTGTGCATAAAGAAACTTGAGGTTATTCGTGGCGACAATGGACAGTGATCAATGTGCGCCGGTACCTATACGTAATGTGAATTTCGGGTCCAGGCATGGTTAAAGATTCGGTCCTAAACGCATAGAAGTAAGCGCCTGACAATCATGGGCATTGGGCACACCTTCCTTCATTTTCAACCCCCATAGGGATCAAAACCTTCTCATCCACGCCTCTTGTCCCCTGATCCAGATCCTTCTCCTCCACGCCTCTTGTCCCCTGATCCGGGCCGGACGGTCACATCTGCCGTTATCCCACGTACCTAGGTAGCTCTTCAGGAGCAGGCCCATCGTGCGATGACGTGACCGTTAGCGGGGCCGGGTGGCCTGTCCACAGTGACGGGCTCTGAGCCCCCGTGGTGAACCAGGGTGGCCATCCAAACCAATGTCTACCATTGATTCCTTCATTCCTATCATCTTTCCGGCTCTGCAAAGGTCTCATTCGACCGAAAGAGCCTAGCCCTGCAAAATAAAATAAACAAACTTGACTGTCTTGGTAGAAAGCAATCACCAAACTTATCGCATAGCATAGCATAGCGATTTATGGATGTAATTCAAAACCTTCTATGAACGTCAAACGCCTAGCAACCCACCTTCGATGAATATTGCATGCTTAAAAACCCATGCCACTGGACCGAACATGTAAATAAACCCTGTACAAATCGATTGGGGGCGTGGATTTTCACAAAGGCGCACTTTCAAAAGGTGATATGTCTTGTGCTACAGCTAATATTCTTGTTGTTGCCTGTTTGTGTTGTGCATTGTAATTTCTATGTTGCATTGCTTTTTCATCCCGTGATGCGTAAAGGAAATGGGTACAGCTTTTCTCACTGTGTGATAGTATCGTGCCAGCAAAACCGAGAATAGACCCAAGACTTTGTGATCAGTTACTCGTAAATTAACACACCTACTTCAAAGCTATTGAGAACATGGGAGGGGAGAGTCATCTCAAGACGAGCTTGAATGGAGCGTTGCGGACCTTTGTGTGTGGCATTCAAGTGACTGCTGCCATATGAGCCTTTCGACTATTCTCGGTTTTGTCGAAATGATACCTACCACGCCGAGTGAAAAGGCTGTACCTATAAGCTACGTTGGGAAAAATACGCTGATATGTATGGGTTACCACGGACAATGTACAGAACAATGCTGGTGTATCATCTACGTCAGTCACAGTTGATGTACTATGAACTGTAATATAGCGTCAGGATACTAATTCTACTGTTGTAGGGGAAGTGTGTAAATGTGACGTCTGACGATGCTTTTGTAAATAGTTTTCAAATCTCTGGCATGTGCAATCGCCTTAGTAATTCCGTTTAAAAACACATTGAAAGCAAGTGCTTCTTGCAGCAGAGTTCGAAGTAGCAGCCACCACCTGGGGCAGATTAACTTACAGGAACCCGCTTAATAATTTATTTTAATGTCTAGTTACGGGTTATTGGTTTGACATTTTTCTCTTATGTGATATACTTTGGGGGGTCGTCATCTTGCCTGCTAGGGTCTCATAATCTTCAATGCGTGTCGATGGCAGGGATACTGTGTTAGCGACGCAGATCCTTCGCTGTTGAAACCGAACGCAAATGTACATGTAAATCCATGTAAATACTTCTTCGGTGTATTTACGAAGAGTCGAAGGCGGGGCAGGGTGGGTATGTCACGTGTTAAAATAGATTTATTGGTGAGTGACTCCGCCGTGTTATGTGGTTGCCAGGACGAGTCAAGCTATTCAGGAAAGGTGCTGTGTGTTTTGTTCTTTAGTTGTGGGCACCGCAAGACTTTTACGGCAATGCGACTGCGCGCGAGAACGTCATGGTTTAGCGACACCAGTGATGACGTAAGCGACATCAGTGATGACGTAAGCGACATCAGTGATGACGTCTGATGTGACGCAGTTGATGTGGCGTCAATGTGGTTAATTGTGACGATATCGGAAGGCTGGTCTACCATTTCATGTTCAAGGGAAAACTCCATCATTTCTGACTGTAACCGCGAGTGTCGCGGGCCGTATATTTTGGGTGCCTCGTCCTCCGTCGGCGAAAGGCATTAGCGGCGCGGTGGAGGCAAAGAGTTCGGCCGCGTGGCGGCGTCACGAACGTTCCGCATTGTTTGGATGAATTGAAAGGCAGAAAGGCGCAAACGATGTAAGTTGGTTGAAATGATTAATTTTTGTTATGTACTGTGCAATGAGTTAATGGCTGACTTCATTCTAAACGATTTAACGACTGTTTCATACGATTTTCTGTTCGTTTCAGAATTTACGGCATAATACAGCTATGTCACTGAATCGCATTATTAGATGGCTGTAACAGTAAATTATCGTAGTCTAGCCACGAATAGCAAATTTCATATGATCTGTATTGATCGGGTTACTATGACCTCCTGCATTGCGGACTTGACCTGTACTAACACAACCTACATGAACTGATTTTACCTGACCAATTCTACGCAACTCCGAATTGTCACCTGTAGTTGTAGATGTATGATATCGTCTCCTCTGTCACCTTGTGTAGACATTGATTCTTTTCCTGTGGCTGAATTTCATTACCTGAATTCCCTGGTCATCCTCTCACTCCATGATGGCTGAGCATCAAAATGCAGATGATGTGACAGATGGCGTGAGAAGTCGTAAGACAACAGAGAAGGGAGCTCAGTATCGACTCGGTGTAAAACAAAAGGTGTACAAGAGAGCATTGAGTGCAGTAAGGTCCAGTGGTCAGAGGCTGATTGAAGTTATGTCTGCAAACGAAGGCATAGGATGTGTCAAAGCTGAGCTCGAGAACTGGCTGAAGCTGTGTCAGGAGCTGACGTCATCTGATCACGAGTTAAGGTCCCTGCTTCCAGATGATGAGATCGATTACCATGTGAGTAGGCATTTGAGTCAGCTTGATGACAATGATGCCATGAAGGCAAAGGTGTTGAAGTATCTTGCGGACATCAAGCCCGAAGAAATGCCTGCTGATGGTGTTGAGCCTCAAGATAGTGCCTCAAACCTCTTTGTGACGTCAAGAACTGCTCTGTCTAGAGTCAGTCAACATTCAGATGGGGGAAGCTCGACGTTGAGCTCCGCCAAGCTGAAGGAGAGACAAAAGCAAGCAGAACTGGCAGCAAGAGCAGCTGTTATCAAGAAAAGCCAAGAAATGAACAAGAGGAAACTGGAACTGCAGTGTGAGGAGGAAGACATGAAGTTGATGACAGAGTTTGCTGTCAGCCAAGCAAGGGAAAGAGCCATTGATGATTTTGAAAGAGATATGAATGACACCACCAGAAACCAAGATGCATTCCAAGCAACGACAGCAAGACGCATGTCCCAGTTGATGCTGGACCTGCCACCCCAAGATGCTGCCCCAAGAACCCGAGTCCCACAGACAAGTCAGCAGCAAAGGCCAGCGTCAAATGTCCATGCTCCACAGACAAGTGAACAGGAGCAGAGCATGGATGTTATCCAGGGCCTCGTAAATCTGTTGCAGCGTGAAGTAAAGCAGAGCCACCTTCCTGCTCTGGAACCGGACGTGTTCTATGGTGATGTGGCAAAGTTTGAGTTGTGGCTCAAGTCATTTGAAACATACATAGAAGCCAAGACCAGCTCTCCAATCGAAAGACTGCATTACCTGGGTAAATACACTGAAGGTGAAGCGAAGGCGGCAATTCTTGGATTCATCCAGCTGCGGACAGAAGATGCTTATCAAGAGGCAAAGAACAGACTCAATGACAGATACGGAAACGAGTTTGTACGAGCAGCCGCATACAAACGACGGATCCGAAACTGGCCAAATATCAAGAGTGGAGATGGCAAGGCTCTGAGAGAGTTCGCAGACTTTCTTCAGCAGTGTGATGCCTTGTCAAGGACGTCTGGGCACTTGAAGGTGTTGGACGACCAGCATGAAAACAGCTACATGTTGAAGAAGCTGCCCAAACATGTGGTTGATCGTTGGAGAAGATATGTGGATCAGCGACTGTATGAGCCACAAGATGGTGAGCCAGCGGAATATCCTTTATTCAAGGAATTCGTGAAGTTCCTGGCGAAGGAGGCGAGAGTGGCCTGTGGTCCCGTCGAAGACTCTGCCAACAAAGAAGAGAAGGATGTGCGCAGAGACAGGAGAGTTGTAAGAGCGCTCCAGACGACTGCTGCACCAGCCTCAAAGAGGGACAGCCACAGTGTTGTCAGACCAGGGTGTGTGGTGTGCTCTGACCGCTCAGGTGTTTCAGTTGCTGCCGCTCACCCAGTGGCAGAGTGTGAACAGTTTACCAAGATGGCCCTTGAAGAGAAGCAGGCTGCAGTGATGAAGTATGGACTCTGCAGAGGATGCTTGAGGCGTGGACATGTCTGGCGGTCCTGCCAAAGGAAGATGAAGTGTGAAACCTGTGGAAAAGGTCACCCCACTGCCCTTCATGATGACAAGTTTCCTGTTGCAGCACAGAGCAGGGCAATCAGCGAAACTCGGAGGGACCTCATTCAGCGCGGAGATGCTGAGACTCAGAGGAGGAGCAGTCGGCCTGAAGGAGCAACGGACCAGCTCCAAGCTACATCCCTGCGTGTGATGTCCGGAGTTGGAGATAAGAGACCAGGCTGCGTCCACTCAATGATCCTGCCTGTGTTCGTTCGTCACAGGGAGCACCCTGATGTCAAGGTTCTAACCTATGCTGTCCTTGACCCACAGTCTGACGCGTGCTTTGTGACAGGCGGCACTTGCGAGGCTCTCCAGATCCAGGGTCAGCCAGTCTCCCTGGAGCTGAAGACAGTCACGGGCCAGTCAGTTGTGTCCAGCTCAGTCGTTGACGACCTGGTGATTGAGCCTGTGCAGGGAGGTGACAGCATCGTCCTTCCTCAGTGCTATTCGCGTGAGGTGATTCCAGCAGAGCGTTCGTGCATCCCCAGAAGAGAGTCTGCCAGGAAGTGGTCTCACCTGGCACCGATCGCAGATGAGATACCGCTGTACTACCCTGCAGCTGGAATCGGCCTTCTCGTCGGGATGAACTGCCCAAAAGCCGTGAAGCCCAGAGACGTCATCACAGGTGACGACAACGACCCGTGGGCTGTAAGGACCGTACTGGGATGGGGCATCGTAGGCCCTGTCTGTGACAGCGAGAACATCAATTCTGGATGCCAGTACATCGACGCAGGAAAAGGAACCCGCAGGCTGTGTCACTTCGCATTCAGGACTACAGCTCATGAGATGACTCCTCAGCAGCTTCACGAGATGTTTGACCAGGACTTTGTGGAGACAAGAGAGGAGAAACCACAGTCAGTTGAAGACAGGATGTTCCTGAAGATGATGTCCGAAGAGATCCATCAGAAAGAAGACGGGCACTACGAGATGCCGCTTCCGCTGAAGGGAGACGTCAGACTGCCGAACAACAGAGCTGCAGCAGTGCAGCGCCTCAAAGGACTCCGCTCGAAGCTAGTACGAAATGATGCATTCCGGCGTGACTACACAACGTTCATGGAAGCCACGATCGCCAATGGTCACGCTGAGAAGGTCCCAACAGATGAACAGCAGCTCAGCGATGGCAGGGTATGGTATTTGCCCCACCACGGCATATACCACCCGAAGAAGCCGGACAAAATCCGTGTCGTTTTTGACTGTAGCACCGAATTTGGTGGAGAGGTGCTGAACAGTCATCTATTGCAAGGACCCGACATGACGAACAGCCTCGCCGGAATCCTCTGTCGTTTTCGGATGAGACCGATCGCTCTTACATGTGATATCAGAGGCATGTTCAATCAGGTGGGGGTCAACAGAACCGATCGTAACTTCCTGAGGTTCCTCTGGTGGGAAAACGGTGACGTGTATCAGGAGCCCGAGGAGTACCGAATGACGACACATTTGTTCGGCGCAAGATCTTCACCAGCATGTGCTATGTTCGCCCTCAGAACAGCAGCCGACAGCTACGCAGATGAAAGTGGAAAAGAAGCTGCCGACTTCGTAAGAAGAAACTTTTACATCGACGACGGTCTCACGTCCGTAGATGACGAAGACACAGCTGTGCGCCTCATCGACGCGACTCGCCAGTTGTGTAAGCAGGGTGGATTTGAACTACACAAGCTGTCGTCTAACAGCGTTGAAGTCCTGAAATCTGTGCCGCCAGAGAGCCGCTGCTCTACTACGCAGAGTCTGGAAGCCGGAGCGGGCAGGCTGCCCATCCAGCGTGCTCTTGGCATAGAGTGGGACACAGAAAACGACGTACTTCAGTTCAGTGTGAAGCCCAACGATAAACCACCAACTAGAAGGGGGATGCTGTCTGTGGTTAGCTCCATATTTGACCCCCTCGGCTTCATCTCTCCATTTATTCTGAGAGGCAAGCAGATTCTAAAGGAGTTGTGCCGTGATGGTCTCGGCTGGGACGACCCAGTCCCAGAGACTCTGCTGATGCGCTGGAATGAATGGATGTCAGAGCTGGAGACCCTGTCAACCCTGAAAATTCGAAGATGTTACACACCGATGGACTTCGGAGCCTTGCAACAAGTGGAACTGCACCACTTCTCCGATGCCAGCACGCACGGATACGGTCAGTGCAGTTACCTCCGCCTCATAGACGACCAGAACAGAGTCAGCTGTAGACTTGTGATGAGTAAGGCCAGGGTGACTCCTTCCAAACCCGTTACAGTCCCTCGCCTCGAGCTCACCGCAGCACTGATTTCTGTTCAAGTGAGCAGCTTCCTTCAGAAAGAACTTGACCTCGGCAGTGTCGCCGAATTCTTCTGGACCGACAGCAAGGTGGCCATCGGCTACATCTCCAACGAGGCCAGACGCTTCCACGTGTTTGTGGGAAACCGAGTCCAACAGATTAGGGATCGTACCGAGCCCCGTCAATGGCGGTACGTCGAGTCCAAGACGAATCCAGCTGACCTCGCCTCAAGAGGCACGAGCGCCGCCGAGCTCAGAGACAGCACCCTGTGGTGGTTCGGACCAGCATTCCTGAACAGTGCGGACCCACTCCCGGATCAGAACGTGAGCCCAACTGTGGACCAGAGTGACCCTGAGGTGAAGCACGCCATTCGGCCAGTCGTTACGCTTCAGACTGCAGCATCAGCGACACGTCCCCTTGCATCTGTGACCGAGAGACTTCAGCGATTCTCGACCTGGCACCGGGCCAAAAGAGTTGTTGCGCTGTGTCTGAGGTACATGGACGCGCTGCAGGGACGGCGCCACTCAGTTGGACAACCACTGACGGTTGAAGACCTGCAAAGAGCAGAGACAGCGATGATAAGGGCTACGCAAGCTGAAGCGTTCCCAGAAGAGCTGAAAGTGTTGAAGAAGATGAAGACTGATGAAGTGAAGATGAGTGTCAAGAAGACCAGCAGGCTCGTGAGGTTGGATCCTTTCCTTGGAGCCGATGGATTGATTCATGTAGGCGGCAGGATCCGGAGGGCAGAACTACCAGTGACTGAGCTGCACCCAGTCATCCTCCCGCGAGCAAGTCACGTCACACGCTTACTTGTCGGCCACTGCCACCAGAGAACCCGCCACGCTGGCCGCGGGATGACCCTAGCGGAGATCCGCTCTGCAGGGTTCTGGGTAGTTGGAGCCAGAGGTGTAGTCTCGCGCCACATCCTGGCCTGTGTGACCTGCAAGAAGATCCGTGGATCTCCAGTGGAGCAGAAGATGGCTGACCTGCCGGAAGACCGCCTGAGCCCTGCCGAGCCGTTCACGCACAGTGCAGTGGACCTGTTCGGCCCGTTTTACATCAAGGAACGGCGGAGCGAGCTCAAACGATGGGGAGTTCTGTTCACTTGCATGGCATCAAGGGCTGTGCATATTGAGACGGCCAATTCCCTCACGACAGACTCCTTCTTGAATGCTTTCAGGAGGTTTGTCGGTAGACGCGGCCCAGTGAGAACGCTACGCTGCGACAGGGGCACAAATTTCGTCGGCGGGAAGAACGCGATGGAAGAAGCTTTGAAAGAAATGGACCACGACAAAGTTCAAAGGGAGCTCCTGAAAGAGAACTGTGATCTCGTCGAGATGAAGATGAATGTGCCGTGCGCCAGCCACATGGGCGGCACGTGGGAGCGGATGATTCGCTCCGCAAGAGCTGCACTCAGCGCTGTACTGATCAGCCACGCCGGTCAGCTCGACGACGAGACGCTGAGAACAGTGATGGTGGAGGCCGAAGCAATCATGAACAGCCGTCCCATATCCTCTCCCGACATGACCCAAACTGACCTAGTAGAACCGCTAACACCTAACCAAATACTAACTCAAAAGACTAGACGAGTACTGCCCCTCCCTGGTAGATTCCAGTCAGCAGATGCTTACTCTCGCCAGCGCTGGCGTAGAGTCCAGCTAGTAGCAGACCGCTTCTGGTCAAGATGGAGGACGGAGCTCTTGTCTTCACTCCAAGAGCGCCGACGATGGACGTCGGCGAGGCCCAACGTTCAACCGGGCGACGTCGTGCTCCTGATGGAGGAATCTCCGAGAGGCAGCTGGCCTCTGGGCCGGATCGTCGAGGCCGTGCCCGGCCGTGACGGCCTGGTGAGGAAGGTGAAGGTTCGCTCCGGAGGCCGGGACCTGGAGCGGCCTGTGCACGGCATCGTCAGCCTGACGCGCTGAGCGGCGTGGCCGCTGAGCGGCATGGCCGGCGCGGCAGAGACCGGGACCTGACCGTGGCGACTCTCAGCCCGGGCGCCGAGCGGGGTGAGATGTGATACAGACTCAGTGAATGGAGGACTCGAGCGGCGGATGTGGCCGTGCGATGGCGATCCAGGGTGGTGTCTCCATCTGCGGGTGGCCGTCGCTATCCGACATCTGACTGATCGGAGCCAGTGTGTGTACCTATTCACCGGCAGGGAGTTGTGTCAGCCGAGACACGCACTCTGACGTGCGGACTGTGGTGTTATGAGGAGCCACGCGCTGTGAGAACGCATTCCTAAGTGTTACGAGGAGCCACTCGTGTTGTGAAAGGTGCATTTTGAGCGTCATGGGGAGTCACACGTGCCGTGAGAAGTGCTCACCTAAGCGTTATGAGAAGTCATGAGTCATGCGCAGTCATATGCGTGGCGATAAGTGTGTGGGAGATGCTAGAGAAGTAAATTTTGTTTACCAAATTTAGAGGAGCCATGTAACCGCGAGTGTCGCGGGCCGTATATTTTGGGTGCCTCGTCCTCCGTCGGCGAAAGGCATTAGCGGCGCGGTGGAGGCAAAGAGTTCGGCCGCGTGGCGGCGTCACGAACGTTCCGCATTGTTTGGATGAATTGAAAGGCAGAAAGGCGCAAACGATGTAAGTTGGTTGAAATGATTAATTTTTGCTATGTACTGTGCAATGAGTTAATGGCTGACTTCATTCTAAACGATTTAACGACTGTTTCATACGATTTTCTGTTCGTTTCAGAATTTACGGCATAATACAGCTATGTCACTGAATCGCATTATTAGATGGCTGTAACACTGACTTTGAAATAAGCTAGCTCAAATCAGGACTTTCCTCAAATCAGGAAAAAACAGACAACTTTCTCACCCTGTCTTTTTAGTACAAAAGTTATTCTGAATTTAAATACTAAAAGTTGTTCTCTCGTACTTCGTAGATCCGCAATCGTTTACGTTCTGGCAAGTGGCAATAGGTATGTATGCCATTCAAATACATGTGTTCCAAATTACGTGCAAATTACATTCTATGTAAGTGAAATTTTCTGCTTGGCTGATATGGAGACTTCCATCACTGATGTGGTCAGTGACGTCTGATGTTGGCATAACGCGCGGCGGACGGTTTTGTGGTGTCGAGTGTTGTTGTGACTGTGTTATTTGTGTTCTGTTCTTCTGACATTTGAGTCATTGCTTTGCCATGTATCGTCGGGCACGGGATCCACAGATTCGGAGCTAGAAACTAATCTCGTAATCAAAATACCACCGCAAAGTAGGCATCACTATTCGCTAATAATTGTCGATTAATCTCAACAAAAAATCAAACACTGAGTTTGCGATAATGTTTGTTTTGCTTCGTGTACATTCAGCGCGTCTCAGGTTGTGTCATATAATCCTACGCCACTCCGTCAGTAGGTACCGTTTAAGTCTGTTCTATTTCTGCTTTGGACGGCACTGGAGCCGTTTTTGCCAGGGCGCACTGTCAATGCCTCTCTGTTGCCTCACCAAAGGCAATCTGTTGGGGAGCATTTCCACTGTCGTAATGCTTCAGTTGGCCCTGTTCGCGCCGTCGTCACTGATACTTGTACCGGTGTGTCGCTGCCATAACTGGAGTCGGGCTCTTGCCCCGAGGCGCCCTGGATCGGTGACGTCACGGATTCCGTCAATGACGTCAGATGTGACGCGTCACGCTCCTCGCGGCTGAAAGTGTTGCTGGACTCTGTGTCGCCGAGGCGGCTCTTTGTTGGTTTAGCGCCGAAAGGGCGTTTCAAGTGACATCTCTGGCTAAGCAAGTACACGGTTCATAGTGTAAAATGACCGAAACGGCATAATAAAATGTAGAGGGGTGTCATCCAGTAGGGGGGGGGGGGCGCCAAATAGGGGCGCCAGACGGTTACGAGGGCGCCGTGAGACCATGAAAAGGACGCAATTCTCCTAAAAGGGCGCAAGTGATTGAAAAGTTTATAGGTCCAGGGGCGCTAAGAGGCCAGAAGGGCGCAGAACAGTCAGTAGCGCTAAATTGGTGGGGACGTAGGGGCGCCAGACGGTTATGAGGGCGCCATGAGACCATGAAAAGGGCGCCATTCTCCTAGAAGGGCGCGCCGCCAAGTGATTGAAAACGCTGTGTGGTCCAGGGGCGCTGAGAGGCCAGAAGGGCGCCGAACAGTCGAGGGATGCACGGTGGACAGAGTCCTAAAAGGGCGCGAGACGGTTAGGAGGGCGCCGTTAGACCATAAGAAGGGCGCAGTGCTGTCAAAAGGGCGCCATTCTCCCAGAAGGACGCCGAGTGATTAAAAACGCTATATTATCCCGCGCCCTGCTGGGGGGGGTGTTTGAACACCCCCCCTGTGGTTTTTCGCGAATATCTCAAAAACGGCGGCGCGGAGCGCCGCCGTTTTTGGTACACCTTATCATACATCAATTCTACACATGTTGTGAAAATTTCAGACCAAGGTCATTCAAGGTCAGGTCACCAGGTCACTTGAAGTGACCTCACCTCATAAAAACTTTCAATGTCTGTCATAGCTATACCGAGTGACCGATCGCTTTGAAACTTTCAGCGATTGCTAAGAGCAATAGCATGTACAAAATGTATATCTCAGAATTTTGATATCGATGACCTAAGGTCAGGTCAATTTTGCGACCTCCCCATTATAAGTCAATGGGAGAAAATTGAAATGCGCCTCTTTTGGATGAAAGACGTTATAAACACTCCCAAACACCGAATTACAAGTGGTTTAGACACACTGAACTTGAAAATGGTGTCCGTGACCCTTGTTTATGCCCTGAGGTCATCTTAGGTCACGAATGGTATCTAACAGTTTTTCGCAAATAACTTTTGATAGAGGCATGCTAGAGCGATGAAAACGCCTTAGATGTGTTCAGCTCGACGATACGGATCGACTGATATGCAACATGACCCTTTCCGGTCAGGTCATGACCTTGACCTGAGGTCAAATTTTCAAGTTGACCTTTCAAGGTCAAGTTATAGTTCATTCGATGCGTCTTGACGAGAGGAACACGATGCCGGTAAAAGTAAGCTCGTACAATGCTTGGGTCAAAAGTTATTGCAGAAAAACTGTTTTAGAAAAAATCGGCTATTTTTGCAGTTTTTGCCCCCTGCAGGCAAAACCGTTGACGTTAGGTCAAATCTGAGAGAATTACTCAGAAAGGGCGCTAATAGGGCTATCGAATGCGCTTTTCCGCGGCGCTGTAGCTCTATTGGTTCCCGAGTTATGCGTTGGCTTCTTGGAAATTTTCGACATTTGACCTGGAAATCGGCGAAATTTTGCCTTCAATGACCTCTGGTGACCTGACCTTTGACCTGACCAAAAAATTGACCGAAGTGATTTCGTCATTATTTTTTACGCTCTTTCGAACGCCGCCTTCCGCGTATCGCTACGTGGCCCAGGAGCCGAGTTACAAGGGGGGGGGGTGTTCAAACACCCCCCCCCCCCAGCAGGGCGTGGAAATCCAGGACCCCCAGCAGGGCGCGGGTTATCCAGGAACGCGAGACGGTCAGGAGGACGCCGTTAGAGCATGCAAAGGGCGCCGTGCTCTCGAAAGGACGCTTGTGAAAGACTTGTGGGTGCATTTTCATCATTGTGGGGGCATAATTCAAGATTATGGGTCCATCTGCCCCCACAAAGAGATATAAAATTACACCCCTGGGTGCGATCTTTATCTCATACGATCATTTACCTCGACGGTCTATTGCGAATACGATCTTTCGTCCATACGAACATCATACTGTACGATCTTTATCCCATACGATCTTTTGGCATACGATCATTTTTCTTGACGATCTTTAGCGAATACGATCTTTTGTCCATACGAGCATTACGTCGTACGATCTTTATCCATTACGATCTTTTACATACGATCAACTTCCTACGATCTTCTGTGTTCTTTCTGCCATACGATCTTCTGCTTTACGATTTTTTGTCCGGCTACCATACAGTGCTGAGTTTGGTTCTTGTATGGTGCTGACCTCTATAGCTTATAACTCTATACAATAGTTCAGACTTCTCTCACTACGTAGTGCTAGGGAGCCGTGTTTCGTTGCAGCAATGGCGCACTTAGGACAAATCAATTATGTTCAATTATTGTCCGTGTGCCACCGTTTGCGCCATGTTAACGAATCGTGAACCACCACACCAGCACCGCTAGCAGTTACTAACAGTTTAGACTCGAGATAGAATAGCGAGGGAATACAACGTGACATCTCGATTTCGCAAAAAAAGCAGAGCAAGGCCCAAAAAAACTGAATTTTCAATAATTCAATTTTAGTTTTCCACCAAGTTACCCACCTATGCGAGGTGCAAAACACCTAAGAAGTGATGAGTAAGTATGTTTGTAGCAATGTAGTGAAGTTGTGTTCCAGTTCAGGGGGTTCCACAAGCCTCGTACAGTTAGAAGCCAATCTCTTTGATGCGTTAGTCTACTCGCTAAATAAGATATAAGCTCATTTGATCCTATTAGTCTAGGTTCCTCTCTTTGCAGGTTCCCTCCCTCATTCCATCCTGAACCATCCCATATTGATATGGCTCACTGGCTGTGTTCGGCAAGTAGGGAACCCCAACAGATGAGTTTTTTTCTAAGCCGCCGCCCATGAATAGACAACCAGGAGTGTCCACCCACTGACCCGCGCGACACATAGAACCTTACGTTAACACCACCCCGAAACATAATACATCAAGTCGCGACACTCCCAGCTAGGAGAATGAAGAGAACAAAATCAAAGCTGGAATAAGCGCGGTAAGGCCCTTGTTAGTATGGTATATGGCTTAAAAGAAAAACAAAGAAGTCAAGGCTAAATGTAGCTTGACTGACCACTACACCTTCCCATTTAAGAATAAGCCAAAGGATCAGTCATTTCATCGGTTCGTTAGGTTAATCGTGCAGCGCATTCACACATTTTTGCGGGGGGCAGTATCTTGTCTAGGTTCGGCAGAGTCAAATGCCCACTGAAAAGAGCCGCCGAGCTAAGCAAGCTTGTTGCTCAGCGACTCAAATCAGCGGGCAAACATCAGGGCGTTATTTGAAGTGTTACGTATTGTTACGTAGTTTATAAGGGGTCAAAATATATCATGTTACAACCATGAATTCGTGAACAGTTCAAGTAAGGGGGTGCGCAGCAGCTTCAGCTTGGCTCTAGGGTCCACCTTCCAGGTAGGTAGGTTGATGTCCTCTTGTAGTCTTCAGAATTGCAGTAGGCCCAACAGGTGAGTTGAACAGGTGAGTTGAAAATTCTCATTGACCCTCTGAGCGCTCCGCACCTGTTAAAGTTTAAACTCTCGCAGTTACCTTTATGCTGGTGGTAATGATGTGTGCTTATTATAGATTCATCCACTAACATGCTGCTCATGCCTTATGATGGCATGGATTCATGCCCATTGATCATTTAAATTAATTTGTTTTATTTCTGTGTGCCATTTGCTATTAGTTTCTGGTTTTAAACACAAATCATAACTGAAGCAATGATAAATAGGGTTGCCTTGAAATAGCAATGCAACCTTTATGGCTTGGGAAAAGTTTTAGACCAATTTTCAGGATCATAAAATAAGCTGAAATATTTCCCCACCTGCATATTGTACCTGCATTTAGATTATAGCTTTTCACAGCAGTGTGTGCAAATTACAGATGAAGGTAGCATAGGGGAGAAATGTCCAAGACGCCTTTCCCCCTAAGGGAAAATGGGGGGTAGGGTACTGCTGAAATAGTTATTTTGCCATGTACCATAATGTATTTTGTTAAAGCCTTGTCTTTCAACTATTAAACAA